TCGCCGTCGGTGCTGGAGATCCTGGACACGGCGGGCACCGAGCAGTTCGCGTCCATGCGGGACCTGTACATCAAGAACGGCCAGGGCTTCATCCTCGTGTACAGCCTCGTCAACCAGCAGAGCTTCCAGGACATCAAGCCCATGCGGGACCAGATCATCCGCGTGAAGCGGTACGAGCGCGTGCCCATGATCCTGGTGGGCAACAAGGTGGACCTGGAGGGCGAGCGCGAGGTCTCGTACGGCGAGGGCAAGGCCCTGGCCGAGGAGTGGAGCTGCCCCTTCATGGAGACGTCGGCCAAAAACAAAGCCTCGGTGGACGAGCTGTTCGCCGAGATCGTGCGGCAGATGAACTACGCGGCGCAGCCCAACGGCGACGAGGGCTGCTGCTCGGCCTGCGTGATCCTCTGAGGCGCCCGCGCCGCGCGCCGGCCGCCCTCCGCGCACAAAAGCCAAACGCACCCGACTCTCTAAATGTGATTTCTCTTCTTGCTTTGAGATTGGAGACGACTTTGCATTGGCCGGTGTGTCCCGGGACCCCGGCTGGCCTCTGCGGCGGACGCCCCCCGCCTCCTCCCCGCCTGCGAAGGGGTGCCGGGTCCTGACCATCGGATGCCCGGTGGCAGTGTGGCTCTTTGCAGCGCGTACGTTTCTCATTGATTTTGGTTGACGCACATTTCCCCCCTTAAGTAACCGTTAAGGGCGCTGTATTGGCGGCTTGACACCAGCAAGCGAAAGTTTCAGCCTGGAAAAAATGGGGTGGGGGAGGAAGAGGGCAGGGAGAAGGTGGAACCGGGGAGGCTTTTTTTGTTTGTTTTTCAACAACCGTTTTCTAGTTCCAAGTTTTAAATACATGGAAGGAAGTCCGGGAGAACCAAATGAAGGAGCAGGAGGAGAGGAAGAAACTTTTGTTTTTTCCTTGTTTTCCAGGAGTAGCTGGAAATAATGATCAGGTTCCTTTCCTGCCAGCTTGGAAGGGCAGCCCCGTGACTGATTGCGATTCCGAGGATGTCTATGCAAAGTTGGATTCTTGTTTCAGTGTATCCAATCTGAAGTATTGCACATCTGAACTGGGACTGTTAGCACTGAGGCCAATACAGTGTGGGGTGCCAGAAAGTGTCTGCTGATATTTGTGGGGAAAAAAAAAATCTATTTTGTTTACCTACTGTATCTAAGGGGAGTCTGGGGAAGAACGGTAGTATTTTTTTTTATCAGCTGTGAAAAAAATGTTACAGATCTGCACATTTTTGTGTGTACTATTTTGTGTGTGTGTGTGTGTGTGTGGTTATTTTTTTTTAAGTTTAGCTTTTTTGTTCCTATTGGTTGGCAGTAACAGATTTTAATGACTAGCTCTTTAAAATACAGTACAAAGACTTAAATGTGATTCAGGGCCCCCAGCACCCCTGTGTCTGCAGAGTGCCTTCAAAACTCAGCTGTTCCAGCCGGTGCCAACCTGTGAACTTCCCACCCTACCCCAGAATCTGCTATTCCCCAAACCACTTCCCAGTTTCCTTTCAGTAATCATCCCGAAGGAGCCAGGACAATAGGGCCTGTTGTTCTGTGAATTTCTTCCTTATTATTTCCAGCCTTTAAAATGTAATTTCCATGTCTTGCGATTTTTTTTTCTTCATTTTGTTCAAATGTTCAGGTATTTAGCTCCCCTTTTATATTATTTTAAAATATTTTTTGGTTATCTGTTAATAGGGTTTTCCTCCAGAAGCAAAGAGCAAAATCTTACTGTTGTGATGTACCAAGAGAATTCTAACCAATTGTAATTTTTAATTCCAGACATGCGTCTAATCATTGTCTCTTCATTTTAAGACTTTTAATACAAATGTCATTTTTAAAGAAACAAACCCAAAACTATTGTTTGCGTTTCTGTGTTTCATATTCAGTGATTTAATACAGTATCCTGGCTGAGGTGGACAGGGGCAGGTGGTGCCTGATGTCCCCAAGAGTTGGTCAAATTTGGACGACAGAAGGATTTCAGTGGCAAGTTGGGTGACAATACTCCCAAAGTCTTAAGTATGGGAAAAATCAAGGTCTAGGAAGCCCTGGGGTATGGTCATATCATTTGACTATAAAGTGAGCAGGATATGGAATCTCTTCTGCTGGCCTGGAGCAGTTTACCTCGCAGTAGGTAAGGAAGGGAGAAGCCAACTGCTAATACTGCCTTAGATCTGGGAAGGTAACCATCTACCTGACCAGGCTGGGGAACACTTTAATTTGTTTTGTTTAAATTAGGTCACATACCAAGTCAAAAGGATGTTTGGGGAAGATGCTTTCCATTCTGAAGTCATGCCTACTAGTGTTTTCTGCAGTAATTTATATGGGTTGTAGACAGTATGTCAACTCTTGAGGTTTTGATTTGGAAATAAGTCATTAGTTTAAAAAGAAGAAAAAAGGAAAAAGCTAAGAGAAAAACCCCTTGCTCTCATTACAGATTGTGGACCAGGTTGACCTCATGAAATTTTCCTTCTAACAGTAGGAGGCAGTGTGAGCTTTTTCTGTTCTACTTTTCTCAAGGGCCACTTTTCTAATAGAGCCTTTGCAGAATAAAAGGTTTATGGCTAATATATCAAGAGCATTTGATACACCTTAAGTCTCTGAGTGCAGATGAAGTCTTCTCAAGGTCTTTGGACAAAGGGATTGATTCTGTTGAGGAAGCGGAAAGAAATGAGGGGCCACTGGTTTCTTTAAAGCTGTATTAATATCTTGCCTTAAAATGTGTCCTTTGCCCAGGAGACATCTCAGTATTCCAGGGTGAGGAAGAATAGAGGATTTTGCCTGTGGTGGTCCTATGGCCATTTTTTTTTCCCCCTCTTGATCTCACTTAAGTTTAGTATCAAACTCAATTAGAAGGTAGTATATATATTCTAAATAGAGAACTTAAGGGAAACTACTCAAATGTGTGCCTTTGCAAAGATTCCTTCTTGCCTTGGAGTAAATGGAGTTGCTTCAATAGATCTAAAGTGTTGAAAATTCTGAATACATATATCAAGTATTATGAAGGATGTTTTTAAAAAGGCATCTGTTGACTTTTTTTTTAAATGGTTTTGTTTGTTTTTGTTTTTTGGAAGCCTTTTGAACTAAAATGGTGCCAAGTATGTAGCTAACTTAAGAAATGTATATACTCCTGACAGGGAACTTAAAAATGGAAAATTGGAAAAGAAATAGGTGGCTGGTGCATTAATCATCTCCACACAGGATTTAGTCACTTGCATGACTAAATTCTTAATAGGTCTGGGATGGCAGAGCAGCAGAATTTAATATGCTTTTACTGAGTACTGCAAAATAAATGCTTTTTGGATTCTCACTGAAAACAATTTTGTGTGTGTTCCTGGAGCAGGAAAATAGTAGTTCTGAGTCTGGTAGCCTTCTCTCTTACGTTCTTGACAAAACTGAGAGAAGTGGGGGACATGGTTTTTAAGAATGTCATTTTATTTGTCTAGTAAGAACCTTTTTTAGTATCTGGTATTAGGGTGTGAAGAGATAAGAGCATTTGTTTCCTTAGAAAAAAGTTGGGCTGACTTGAGTGTTTAAAGGAAGGGAGGGAGGGTGGGAG